GAGTGAAACCCCGCACGGTAGATACAATCTATATTCGATAGTTATTCTCGACTTGACTAACGTGAGTTTTAATTCGCGCCGTTGATCAGAACTTCGGAGCGAGGTCGCATTTTGCAAGGCTTTTTGAACGCGCGTAGTTATTTTTTTTGAGTTTCTTGGCAAAGCTTAAGAAATCTCAAGTTCAAGATCCACGTCAAATTTGTCAGGACAGCACAAGAAAACTAAGACGATCTTTCAATCTAGCGTTTCGGTTATGTAATGCGTGTTTGAATTGTTTTTGATGGCATAAAAAATATTTGATTTCCTGAAAAACGCAATTATTATGATTCTTCGTCCTCAAATATTCATCACCCATAGATGTCCGCTCAGCTTGAGCATAATAGAAAATCTAAATTTGCAATGACACCATGGTAAACATCAATGTGGTCATGTGGGATACTTTAATTGTCGTCTGAGATTTAGTGAGCGATGCATAAGTTTTTCTTTTCAGTAATGGTCAAAAGGGCGATTTTTGTTACAGCTTTGGTATCTACACAATTTGCCACTACACGGCAAACTAAAATTCCTACTCTTTTACCTCTATATATAAGTATAAGCTATCCGTAGCTTCTGTATTTACTGTGTCACTCAACTTTGACATCGCTTTTGCACTTATGGTCAATATGGAGTTCAAGCAAAACGGAAAAAGTGTCTAGTAGTCCGATCAAAAGAACTGTGATTCCAGAATACACATTCATCCATCAACTGTTTGAGCAAAAAGGTATTACTCAAGCAAAATCTGCCTGGTGTCATTGATACTTATGATTTGGCACACCCTTTACATATGCCTCCTAAGGATTAGAGACAGAATGGTGCTAAGCAATGCGCTAACAATTACCGAGCGGGGCAGGCGATGTTACGTGTGCGATATTTGGTTGAAAAATGTCTCATCAATCTCATGGGGATGAGCAGAGCTAGTCCCAGAATGAACTGGAGGTGAGCATTAGTGACCAGTGACCACCTCAGTGTAGACGTCGTGCTTTTAATTTTGCACAGTCGATTCGTAAGCAGCGTTTTTACTGAGCGTCCATCCATTTCGTAGGAACTGACTGGAAACGTTGCGAATGCTCATGATTGGTGCAACCACCACGTTTAGGGCCAAAGTGACGGTCTTTGTAGGGCATATGATGACATAACGCTAGTCCAACAAAATAATAATTTTGAGATTTTGCGATTTTTTTGCGATCAGGGTAAATGAGTTTCGCGGAGCAAATTTAGTGTTTGCAATCTGCTCTCGGTAAGACGCGGGCAAACATAAAGTATGTTTACAAGCTGTGGCACAGCGAACGGCTTCTGTTGAACAGGATCAGGCAAAAGTAGAGTTTTTTGTGATGAAGTTAGCGACCTTTTGAAAAAGCTGTGACTTTAATGCTTGCTGCCAAGTGCATTGATGTCGTTAAGCTAGCTTTTGCTCGTTGCGATGCGTTGAACTTCATCGTCAGTTTTTGACACCGTGCTTTTTCCCAGAAGAGAGGTTCCCACTACGAGGGCCCTCTCTTCTGGGAATGAGCACGGTGTCAAAATTTACGCAATGTCGGGCGTTTAGACTCCAAACGACTTGGAGCTGCAGTTCAATAAGCTGTGATGATAGCGCAGGATGTGCCGCACGGAAGCTTTTAACACTAGTTTTGTTTGCCTGCAGTTCAAGCTGCTAGCAAGACTCATTTTCTTCATGGGTGAAGCAGAATAGGTTTGGTTAGTTAGTAGAATAGACACCGCTTGGCTCTTGACCTTGCAAAGCTCAAAGTGACGCGTCCATATGGAGACGGTCACGCACCCGCAGATCCTGCTCGTACCAAGATTGGCCATCCTCATGTTTATGCACTTTTATCATAGAGTGCGGCCAAGGATCAAGCTTGGGACTAGATTGGTCCCACTCGCTAGCTGAAGGTGCGTTGCCCCTTATATCAATTCTGCTCTTTACCAAGAGAATCGAAGCAGAGATAAAGCCAAATCAAGCGATGTAAAGGTTTTACAGCAATCTAATCAGAAGGAGGGTGGACCTCCCACTTTACGAGATACTGACCAACCGAAGATTTGGTCCGAAACTAAGTGGGTCCACCTTGCTCATAGAGCAAAGCACATCCCGACTTTACTTAACTGACTCCCATGCACGTTACGGAGTGTAAAACTGCGTCAATCGCAAATATGTGTCGTCTTTAGGACGCAATAGTGGATCTGTACAATCTGTAATCAATCAGCTTTAAAAATGATTCTTGCTCCGAAGAAAAAAGTTTTTAGCTACTGCGGACAATTGAGAGGCACAGTCACTCCGCGCTTGTTTCTTGTAGGATATGCTTGACTACGCGATTGATAAATTTTGTCTGACAATCGGCATGTGGATAACCAGTGGTCATATTTAACCTTCACCAAAGCTCTTTAATTTTTGCTGCTAAGCGCGAGCTTTAGTCAGAGACAATTTCCTCACGCAAGCCATGTTCGTGAAAGCTTTGTCGAAGAAGAGCCTTGCTTTATTATCACCAATAACAGCATCGCTAACAGCAGACACATGAGTCATGATGGATGGTCTGCACAGACGGCAATATTGATATTTCCGCGCGAGTTTTTTCGAAGACCAAAGATAAAATTGTGTACGTGTTTTTCATTTGTACAAAATTGGCCAACAGTAGACAGCACTAACTTAATTTTATAGAATGTCGGATCAGAGGTGGTGTGTTTGCTTAAAACGTATATTTTGAGCGGCAATGCGCTGGTCATATGTTTGCATGAGATGTATATGTCTACCATAGATGTCTGCCAAAGATGTTTTCTGCGTCTCAGACAACATTTTTCGTTTCGCATCTTCACCATGATGTACAACAAAACATTGCAAGTCGTGCGGACCCGTCTGTACTTCAGACGCTCGTCATACAAGTAGTGGCGGTGTGGACGCACTTACGAAAACTAGGAAAACGCAACGGCCGGGTTTCATTCTTGCTTCTTACATTTTTCAATAGCGCAGCACATGTTGCATCTCATTTGTACGCCATACGAATATCATCGTCGATGTGCGACGTCACCATTGTGGCATGCGATTTCAAAAGCTAGGTGACGCATTGAAACGTGCTGATTCAATACCAGATCAAATAAAACTTTCAGAAGCGACAACGATGCGTGTCCGGCAATAATGAAGCCAATTGCGGAGAAATTCATACACATCAGGATAAACATTGACTCCAGAAAGGTGCTGGCATATAATCGTAGATTACAGGTCAAAGAAAGTTGATACCAGTTGAAGACTAAGAATGCTTGAGAAGTTTTGTTATTCTTACGAGGTCTATTTCGTCCTTAACAGGAGAATGTTGACACATATTTTAGTGTCAACATCCTCCTTAATTTTCCAACTAAAAGAAAAAAATTGCGTTAATTAACGAAAATTTATTCTGTCTCAAATTTTTGAGCAAAGTGTATGATAAAAACTCAATTATAACGTAAAAATTGGACCCACGTGTTAATTAATGTCCAGCATAACCATCTCCACTTTTCGAAGCAATAGTCGCAATGCGGCACTCAATGCGTTCTCGCTGAGCACGGCGTGCTATTTCAATTGCATCTTTGATCAGTGTGGACGATTGGCGATGAGTGAAAGCTAATGTTTCGGCTGTACGAGGTGATGCAGGAGGCGTACCGTCAAGCTCATCATAGCTTGTAATTTCCAAACGACGAGCTGTCACTGTAGTAGTAGACCAATTCTTCTTTTTAACGACATTAAACTTTTCATCATATCTGCCATTTCCTGCACCATGTGACGTGGACATATAATGCATTGTTTCTGCCAATTCTTCTTCCTCATCATCAGTTGGAAGTGGAGTAGCCTCGAGTTTATCTTTCTCCTCATCCGACTCTTCTCTCTCTTCTTCTGCTTCTTCATAAAGAAACTCACTCTCATCAATCTTTTTCATCACCGAGTGATTATCTGGTCCAGCAGCTAATGCATTGTACTTTCGATGTAGTCGTTGGAACAACAATTCCTCATTTAACTCGTATTTTTCCACCAAATCGTCCACATCATGTAGTTTACTTGGATTATGCTTCTTGTAGAACGCTATTAGTCTCTTTCTGTAAGTAAGAAAGATTAAATGGCATGTACACTTTCTTCAAAAGATATGCTTACCGAAAACGAGTCTTTGTATCGTGTTTGCCTCCAAAAAGAGAGATCCCCATGACAATTCCAAAGCAAAGTACTCCACCAAAATGAAACATTGTCATCTCTACTTCTCTACTCATTCCAAACACCGAATCTTCGCCTAACTGCAGTCCCCACATCGTAAGATGTAATGTTGCCACAACAACAAGTACCCAAAACCAAGAGAATCGCATGCTAGCCAAGCTATAGCTTAGAAGTGTCAAAAGACCACGGAATACACGCACAAAAGCGTCAATGTCTGCACCATCTAATGTCTCACCCATTATAGATTGTAGTAGTAATTGTGGACGCAAGTAGCACGTCACAGCGACCGCTATAATCGCGACTTTAAGCTCCGTTCCAACCATTTCTTAATTACTGATTTGAATAATTCGCCAATAAGGAAGTAGCCAACATTTAGTCTCTTTATGAGTCGATTGCGGCAGGTGATGGTACTAAGCCGTGACCTCGCACGGTCAAAACAATTCTACGAAGAAGGACTGCGATTAAAGTTACTACGCTCGTCAAGTACGTATGCAGAATTTGAGATGAATGCAGGTGTGCCGCTTTGTATCAAGTTAGCGCAAAGGTAAGTAATGAAAGACTAAGAGTTCTGTTACTAAAGCTAACACTTGATTCAATTGAATACAGTGAAGCTGCATGTAGTAGTGGCTACTCGCCATTTCTAAATTTTGATATTACAGACCTAAGCGACGCTGTCCCACGGTTGTTACTACTGGGTGCGATAATGGACGGCCCTATTAAGTATCCTGCCCATGGAAAAGTAAGCAATGTTGATGGAAATGGAGATAGAGGAATTGAAAATACGCTATGATTGCTATTATAGGTGGCTGCCTTGCGCTCTCCTGATGGAGTGATGATTGGTTTATATGAGCCAAATTCGTGGGAGAATGTTACTTCGGCATAATATGGCGTAGTCGGTACCTTCAAGCAAGCAATGTTACCTTTCTTTAGAATTGATGTTGAGAATCTTGAGACAGTATGACGAAGTAGATATTTGTGGACTTGATACTAATTGAAAAACGAGAAATATTCTCGAGGCCTTTTGTCGTTGCGAGGGAAGACAATGCTAAAGAGCGTCAAACTGTTCGATTATCGCAATAACAAAGTTCGTTTGCTTGTGGGTCCTTGTGAAATTGAGCAGCTTTGAAGCATTTTACAAGTCATTCAAGCAAGAAGACGAACTCGCAGGATTTATACTTTGCACCATCAGCTTCAGCAAGGTAAATAACATTATCAAGATGCTAGATTAAAGTCAAAGCTGCTCTATAGCGCGATGACGTGATTCTGAATGCGAGCGTCAGTGATGAGGCATATTACCGCATCTGGTCAGGTAAAATCGATTTTTTTGCAATTCGAACGCTTTTTTTAAGTTGTTCGACAGCTTAATGTTAATTTCAAGTGTCACATGCATTTTTCTCCTCTATGCAGTTAAGAGTGCAAGATCCAGCTTTTCCTGCAAAGGTTCTAATGCTCCGGTAATGGCCACAACACTCCCACACAACCAGTTAGACACACGTATAGTTGGTGTAACTTACCAGCATTTGAAGAACACGATAGTGCAATCAGCGCTTTAATATGTTCAGGATTGTCATTTACACCAGCATCTGACTGCACAGCTTCGTACGATTTGATCTCTTCATCACACTAAATTAAAACATCATAGTCAGGTATCTTCGCGTCATTAGCTTCTACTTCTAATAACTAAATAGTGTCCCCCTGTCATTGTGTAAGAACACTTAATTTATAAAATGTCTGTAGCCAAAAACACTTTTTAAATATGACATCACACAAATTTACAATAAAACAAACACAAAAAACGTTAAAAGTTTATTGAATATTTTGCTTAAGATGTCCCTCAATTCGCCTCTCGTTCTAAATCTCTTAAGCTCGTGGCTTACCTGTTTCGATCTCTGTGCCTTACGCATTCTTAATCGCTGGTTTTTAAATGAAGTACCACGTCAAACAAAAGAGCTCACGGTTTACAATCTCACCAATCTTTCATTTATGAAACAATTGTGTAAGATCTTTCCACATGTGTGGCGTCTACGAATACAAGATGCTTTTCTCCACGAACCAACACCAATGAAGTCGCTTGTGCCATGGCTTAATCAACTTTCAGAGTTAAAAGAGCTGGAATTAATTAAAATCACCTGCGTCAGCGGGTTCGATGCGAATCTTTTGACTAAAGAGATCACAAAAGTCACAATTCAACACTGCTACCAAGTGCAGGAACCCACGATAATTTCCTCAAGTATAGATACCTTAATCATTCAGCACTGTCCAGTATTCCAATTCCATATAAACACAAGTCTTCCACAACTCAAGAAACTCTCATTATCATCAAGAAACTTGACAACATTACAATGTCAGAATCTCATCACGAAATTGCTGTCAAAGTCGCCTTTATTGGAATATTTCAATCTTACCGGTTGTTCGCAGCTTGAAGAGATAGTTCTCGAGATACGAGACATCCCAGCACTACGTCAGTTTGATCTCAGTGCTTGTTCAATGCTTCACCGCGTTCATCTATCGTCTGAGTGTATAGAAACACTTCTCCTCTCACCAAATCTCAACTTACAATACGTAAATCTGGATCTAAAATCCATCGTGAATCTCGATGTGTCATTTCTTAAAAATCTGACACATCTCTCCATCCACTCACCATCTTTACAACATCTAAATCTTCGAGGCTGTGACCAATTAAAGCGAGAGACTACGAATCTTAATTGTCCAAATCTACACAGTATTGTATTACAAGGCACAAAGCTTACACTCGATGACTTAAGCAAACCAGGACTGTAATCATCTAAATATCCACCTTTACAACCCATAGATTGATTATATCCATACATAGTATCTATTTTTTGAAAATTAAGTGTCTGTCCAGATCAATCTATCACAAGTGTACCCTACCAACGTAACTGATCATGGGGAATACGACGGGCTGGCTTACACAGTCTCTATGTCCTGAAGAACAAGCGTTATGGATTGCTGCAAAAAGTGGTGACTTGGCCGTATTACGTGAAGGATTGTCACGTCTTACACCTGAAACGCGCTTTTACTCGGAGTGGAGAGACCCAGTTTATGGTTACTCACCATTGGCAAATGCTTGTGCACAAGGTCATTTGCATTGTGTTGAAGCACTACTTGCATATGGTGTAGACTGTAATGTACGAGATGCACAGGGTCATACGCCATTACATATTGCAACAGCTTGTGGGAAGAGTGAAGTCGTACGGCTTTTGTTAGAGACACCATCCGTAGACTATTTCGCCACGACATCAACAAAGACCAAGACAGCATTAGAAATTGCTCGTCACGCTTATAAAGTCTCGGAAGGACGAGGATTAATTTATGTTCAGTGTATGGAACATCTTGAAAAGGTTTGTGTTTCTAGATAGAAACGATGGAACGTGAAGAATCTCATGCTTGTGATTGTTAGAAACTTTGTCTTTATTCAGGATGGCTATATGAAAGAGCCGATACTTTCTTATCAATTGCTTCAGGTATCTCGGGTCTGGAATCGTGGAAGAAAAGGTGAGTTCTTAGTGATTGTTTTGATCGTATAAGACCATTAGTTTAAGGTTTGCTCATTTTAGATATGCAATCGTCTTGCGGACTGCTACACGAGATGTTGTTGAAATTGATTTATTTCCTATGAAGCCAGGAGAACGACGTCCACCTATTCCAAGGTATGACTAAGAGTCTGATTTTATAGTGTTGATAATAAACAATTTACATGCTTTTACTAGTTCGGAGCTCTTGTATAAAACAAGTGACGGGATTCAGCAAAGTGACGACTTTACGTGGTTAAAACGAAAAGAGTTTCGACTCTCATTAAAAGTATCAAGAAAGCTGGAAACTAGTCGAGCTTCTACAGTTCAATCAATGGAGTTTGCAGCTACAAATCAAAACGAATTGATTGCTTGGAAAACGTTTTTAACAAACTTACGAGTACGTTACTTTTGAAACTTAACAATCTGTTGATCAAGTGTTTTAACCAGATGAAATGCAGGTGAATCCTTCATCGAGTCCAATTTCAACTGCATTTGGAGAAGACCAACAACAACTTTTTCCATCGCCTCAAATTGCACCACGTGATTCAAATTCTAGTCAGAATATCAGTCCTCGTCAAGCTGCATTACAACAAGAGCAGCGCGAGATTGAACAAGCACTTCGACTGTCGTTAGAAGAAGCACGTCACGCTCGCATGGTATCCGAAGCATCTGCTCCACCTCCTTCCGACACATTGCTAGATGCACTTGGCTATTCGGAAACTGTGGTTGGTCCTGATGGAGTGGAAATTGTACAACTCCTTCGAGATGATGACGTCACCATTAGTCCCGCTTTACATTCCCGTTCTTTGCAGAAGAATATGACGCAAATTACGGGAATTCAACGGACCGACGAGTGCGTCATTTGTTTTGACGGATTGCAAGAAGCAGTTTGTGTTCCGTGTGGCCACAATGCCGTTTGTATGGATTGTGCTCAAGAATTAATTGATACGACTCGACTATGTCCTGTTTGTCGACAACAAGTACGAGAAGTTATTCGCCTTTACCGTGTTTGAATGAATGAACGCACTCACAAACGTGAAAAGATGGATCATTGATAGTTTGGACTGCTTGTTATATTAAGTTAATTACAAGATATGCTTTTAAAATTCACTACATCAGGATAAAGCAACGGAGTTGTCGTGCACCTTCCACAGAGAAAGCTTTGACTCACATAAACTGCTTAATAAAAAGGATGAATTGGTACGCTTTTCTTAGAAGAAAAGAAGTGTGTCTCTACATAGACCGAGACTGATATACTGACTACAGAACGAGAAAGTTCTAGACAAGATGCTCGATGCGGTGTAGAGCACAGAGCTTCCGAAAAGTTCTGGATTTTGTCTCGTACAGATTCATTCTTTCTGATTACAACTAAGAATCGAAGCCTACGCTGTGCAAGGTGTATCTCAACGATAATAAAATCGGTAACTTAGATACAATCACCAATGTACATATCTATGCTTTGACTGACGTCAACTACTTAATGCTAGAGATATCGCCCAAAGAACTGGTTTTCTGTGGGTTTGTTGATGCGAACAATTCGACTTATTTGCAAAGTGCTCAGGTAAATCGAGTGCAAATCAACGACTGAGTCTTGAGAAAACGGCATCTTATGTGCTAAATCGGGTTGTTGAGATACATTAAGTTCTTATGTGGCTTGAGCGGATCAAACAACTGATCTTGAAGTAGAAAAATCTGCTGATCGTTTCGGCTGCTTCGAGAGCGAGACGTCTCCACAAACGTCTTAGTTACACGCCGGTAAAAGTACTTCAACTTCTACATAGCTTGCGACGGGGCTGCCGTAGCTCCTTGCTTAGAGGAAGCTTAATAACGTCACCGATCTTACGTCAACCAGAACGAGTGTAGCAGCTCGCAATCCGCTACCTCCAAGAGTACTTAATACCATAACCAAGGCAAAGAAGCTCTTCTATTCAAAATTGAAACTGTATTAGATTGATTTATTTGGGGCAAAGCCGCCTTAGATTTTCCTCATCAAATAAAAAGCTTAATTATTATCCAGGCGACGGAATTCCTCGTCGAGGAGTTGAAAGAATCGACTACGATTCGGATACTACTTTTCCAGCATGGGAAGACGAGAAGGATGATGTGCGCCAACGGCGTGACGTATGTTCAGCTCAAACTCCGACCTCTCGACTTCCGGGGGAAGTGGTATCATTACCAATCGCATCGACGAGGCACAGAAGCAGCAGTTGGAGGCTGCCCACAGGGCGGATCTGATGCGCTAGTATCCACGTTTGGTCCTAGACCTTCGTATGGAAAACGGCTTTTGCTCGTCGGATTCCGCCACTGAAGCGAATGACGCGATCACTCGATCGTTAGGCGTCTACGTAGTCGGACCCCCGGCGACTAACCAAGCTGAGTTTAACCAGCAGAAAGCTCTCCGAGCTTGCGCGCTCCTGTACTCATAATGAACACAAATTCCTGTGGCTCTCACCCTTGGCAAAACCGATGCAGATGATGAGAAGCTCATTGATCGATGGGTGCAGCGGCAATGGAAACTTTTATCGCTGTCTTCCTTACCGCGAAGCCACAGGGAAGTGGACGTGCGTGTTGAGCGCCATCTTCGATTTGAGTTTGCCAAACTTAGGGCTCAACGCCGACTTCCTGCGTATTGTCACCCTACGATACATGGAAGAATCCATCACGCTTTTGCGAGCACTGTGGTTTCTCACATGGGTGAGTCTACGACCACAGCAGCTCAGGGTCATAGCTTGAGCTCAGCTCATGGCCCTCCGACATCCCAGGCTACCGCCAAGAAGCGCGGATTGCACGACGACGCAAAGCGTCATGATCCAACTGACCATAAGCGTCCACGACATCTTAGCAGTCTTGCCGAACTGGCACCTCAAACTCCCACGAGTTCTGGGTATCCTCACTGATTCACAAGAACGCCGTCGATGACGTCGACCCACAAGGCGCTCCACATGGTAGGGGATGCCACCATTCTCGTCGGGAAGAGTCAGCGGCGGACGATGGCGTCTTGGTCGATCGCCGTCCGGTGACTCGCGATGCTTTTCGAGCGTTGAAGGACAAAGTATGTCGTCATCGGAAATCTGCCGAGCAGCTCTCCGAGGTCATCTACCGCTGTGCGAAAGACCTCGGAAGCTTAGAGCACTTTGTGCACTGACTGCATCGCGTTGAGGATTGTTGTGCTCTGTCGGAGCACCTCCTAGCCGTCGAGCAGGCAAATCCGTCACTTCGTGCTACGGTTGCGCCGTTGGCAACGTAAATTGTTGCACTTCGTTCTCAGAACCAGTTGCTGGTTCAGCTACTGGGTTACCGGGCGCCTTTGAGCGCCGCCCCGGCGCCAAAGCTTCCGCGTTCAGTTGCGCCGTATCCCGGTACGGCTTGAGCAAGTCCACATAAAACACCGGATGGGTGCGCATCCTTCACGGAAGATTCAGCGTATACGCAAGGCCCCGCTTGGCCACGACCCTAAAAGGTCCAATAAACCGCGGACAATACTTTGTCCTAAGAAATTATAGACCGCATGGGATGTAAGGTTTTTAGCATTTAATAAAATCAGATCTCCGACCTCAAAGGTTTCCACATTTTTCTACTTCTTCCATCTGCATATTCTTTCTGCATATCTTGACAGTCAGCCATCGCATCGCGAACGTGTCCTAGGACACTCAGCCTGATAGTCAGGAAGTCATCGACATCTTCACTGACAGTGAAGGGACTGACATCAGCTAGCCCTTCGGCTTTTCCCTCCCACCAAGCCCTGCGCCATGAAATAACAGCGTCAGCGGAACGCGAGGATTAATAAGCTCGTTTACGTAAAACGACGTGTAGCCGGTAGATGGATGCACTGCATTGTCCAGAGCAAATTCTACTAGTGGCAGCATGGCGCTATAGCGCTTCGGCGTCTCAGCGCAGATGCTGCGAAGAACGTCTTCAACGACGCGATTCACGCGCTATTTTTTACTATCGGTCTGCGAATGGTCCGCTTTTGGCTTAGTCAACTTGGTGCCCAGTACCCTGACAATTGAAAGCCAAACATTCCGAGTGAAGCACGGGTCTTTCTCAGAGACAATTAACTTCGGGAGGCCATGCTCTCGAAATACACGATCGACAAACAGCGTCGCTGTACCCACACCGTCGATGGTGTCTGGCACTACCGTAAGATGAACCATCTTGCTCAATCGGTCCACAAAGACCACCACACCCGTGTTGCCCGCCGAGTCCTTCGGCAGGCCAAACACAAAGTCCATAGTCATGGACTGCCAACAGCCGGAGGGTACCGGCAGACTGACGAGCGGCGCTGCCGCATTTGGAGAGGGTTTCACCCTCTGTCACGCCTCACAAGTGCGCACATATTTGTTCGTCCAATTGTACAGCTTGAGCAACCAGTATTAGAGCCTCACAGAGCTGTACGTCTTCTCACGACCGAGATGGCCACTGAGTGGGGTGTCGTGGGCCTCGTAGAATTCATAATCACGTCGTGAGGAACCATAAATCGTGGCGTATCCGTCGAATAAGTGCTATAATAAAGCAACCCGCTACTCAACGAATATCGGTAGACCGTGCCCGCAAACGTGCCGACAATTCTTATCCGAGTTTCCAAACCTTTTACTCCCGAGAGTTTGTAGCAGCGCTACACACATACCATCACCCGCGTATGCGATGCAGATCAAATCTGTTACCGACGACGTTATCGTCGTGACATGAACAAGCTCAAAATCCGGTCTGCGTGACAGCGCATCAGCCAAAACAACTTCACTTGACAATTTCTTTTCCGATTTTCCAAACTCCTTTCTCCCGAGAGTTTGTAGCAGCGCTACACACATATCATCACCCGCGTATGCGACGCGGATCAAATCCGTTACTGACGTCGTTATTGTCGTGACATGAGTAAGCTCATATTCGGTCTGCGTGGTAACGCATCAGCAAGAGCATTCTGCTTTCCTGGCTTGTAATTCACCTCAAAGTTATATTCTACAAAGAATGAAAGCCACCTGGTCATCTTCTGCGAGAGGTGAGACGACTGAGTCGCAGTGCATAATGACGCAAGATCTGTGTAGATCACAAACGGCTTTGAGCCAACCAGGTGCACTCTGAACTTGACAAAGGCAAATTCATCGCAACTAATTTCTCGTCGAGGTCTGGGTACTTCCTCTCCGCAGCCTTAAGCTGGCTAGATTTGAACGCAATCACTCGATCTCACCCCTCGGCGTTTTCTTGCAACAGTGCACAGCCGGTGGCAAAGTCTGAAGCGTCACAGACGACAGTAAGAAGAAAATCGGGGTCTGGCAACGCCAGTATTAGTGCATGAAGGAGGTTGTCGTTGCCCTGTCAAAAGCTATCGATGCTCGGTGTCCCAACACCATTCCGTATCCTTCATAAGGAGATTCGACAATGGCCGTACCATTTCCGCATAACTCTCGCTACACTGTGCAAGCAGTTGGCGAGACCAAGCCACTTGCGCAAGTCCTTTTGGTTCTTTAGTGCCGGCCAGTCACAATGGCCTTAACCTTAGCGGGATCCGCTCAAAGGCTTCCCAATTAGGCACCTTAATAAGGGGATTTCTTCAGCGCCACAGATGTACTTATCGGCATTAGCATACAGCTTGATCGTGCGCATGCACTCGAGCACCGTCTCAAATATATAATGTGGTTCATCTCACCTGTCTTCCCGCACGACCGTGAACGAAGATGTCGTTAAAGTTAATCTGTGCATACGCCCGGTGGGGCCTAAACAATTGCGTCACAAGACAATTAAATGTTATTTGACAGCCCTTAAGGCATCACCAGCCAGTCCCAGAGCATCCCGTTCGGAAAGCCAACCGCTGTCAGCGGAAAATTGCTCGCTCCCATAAGAACTTGGTATAAGCATCGACCAAGTCGAGTGCGCTGAACTTTGTACAGCCAGCCATATTGTTCTGGAGAGCATCCTTTCTGAGGTTAACGTCCGCGTCGGAATGGTGGCAGCGTTTAGCTTATTGTAAGCGTGAACGATACGCCACTTGCGTTCGGCTTTCGAACACAAATGTGGG